TTATTTATGAACAAACCATTTTAGATAGAATATGAACCACTCAAACCCTTCTTTAAGATTCTAACTGAAAACAAAACTTAGATTTTTGAGACTTGCCTATTAGTTTTAATTTTCAACTCTCATTCTGGCTTCTAACCCAAACCTAAGGGATGTGTGTAGACACACACCCACATACACACACACACACACACACACACACACACACACATGCACACACACTCAACGTCTTAGCTATTTCTGTAAGAAATCTTTTAAGGGCTTTCCCACATTGTTTTAAAGCTGCAAGTATGTATGAATGACCAAAGCCCTTGTCTCATTAACTCAAGGATAACAATTTACCTAGAACGCTGTGATCTCTCACACTGTATCTATAGATATGGGCTGATAGAAGTGATGAAACCTGCAGTGGATTCTCCACCACACTGTCCTTAAGGAGGCTTAAATTTTCAAGCTTTCCCCTCCAGAACAAAGGAGAGTGCAATTTAACACAAAATGAGATAAATTGGTAATAACGCAAAACAAGTTAGAATTGCACACAACAAGAAACTGGACTTCCTTAGGGCAGAGAAAAATAAAAAGGCTGAAACGGGAAACCATGGAGAGGCTCCGTGCTGAATTTTTAAATAAGAATTTAAAAACCAGAAGTGGGTGAGTGATGCGCCATAGCTCTGGTTCGTACTCCAATTCCAGTTCTCCAGCTGCTCTTGGCTGGGACCGTCACCAAGTTTACTTATTCACCTTTCTCCCCCAAACACATCCCCTGAAGGTGTGATCACAGGTATCTCACCTTATCAGCAAGGAGGTACTCACACTTCCTCCCACGTGACAGAGGCTGTTTGTTTTTGCCCCTGCTCCAAAGCAGTGCTTACTAGTGATGGTAGAGGGGTAGATATTTGAATGCCTTCACAGACATTTACTACACCAGCTCAGGCCTGAGCATTCTTGTGTAACTGAGAGCACGAGGGAGGGGCGGAGGGAGAGAGAGACACACACACAGAGGGAGACACAGAGAGAGAGGAAATTCTCGTAAATTCAAGAATCCATTAAGATCAACAAAATAGTTCCCCTAATCTATGGATGACACCAAACTCACAGCTATAATTAAGATCACTTTAGTTGCCTCCACAACAGATTAATTCGTCTTTTCAGCTTAAGGGTTGATGTCATGAAAGCAATATTTTACCTGAGAGAAATTGCTGAAATCTGTTTGCTTAACAAAGCAATTATTGATAACTTGCAATGGCTTACTGCTGCCCAACTTATCAACTGGTTAGCAAAAGCAGTCTCACGTCTCAGTAGTGATGTGTGCTTCTGTTTCAGGGAAGACTGGCAAATAATATTTTTTCATAGAGATAGATCAGAAGACAATGAGGCCTTAAACTATGAGATGTCCTATCTGCATAACGTGGAGGGGTTACCCAAGTACTGACTAAACACACTGTGTGAGTTTTCTGCCTCAGGAATCTTGACCCTTGACCTTTGATCAATTTCTCACTTCAAAATTACAGTGACGGATAATGGAAACAGATGTCTTTGACTTGTGGTGTCAGAGAAACAGTATCTTCTCCTTTCGAAACCTTGACATATAGGTATCATCCAAGGAGCAGATAAATGAACTCCTTGTGAAGTGCTCTCAGAATGCAGACATTCCCTTTGCAACCACAACAGAGAAACAGAGGCTTCCCAGGCAGGCCTTCGTCAGCCTTGAAGTAGCTGTTTTGTTTTTTCTTCTCCACACTCAGAAGTAGATAGCAGCTTCTGGTGACATTGGTTCATAACTTGAGTTCTCAAAATTATACAACACTAGTTCTGAAGTTATTACTGCACCTAATTCCCAAGGTATAACTACACTCAAATGACTCACAAGGAGAGCTGTGCCCTTCAAACCACTTTAAGGCATTTCTTCCTTTAGATTGTGGCAGAGAGAATAGTGCAAAATTAAGACTCCTTTCCAACAGCCACGATAATACCACCTGACATTTATAGAGTGTTGCAGCTTTTCAAAGTCCATTGCATTTCAAATGCGTTGCAGAGAGAGGCAGTATAGTGTAATGGTCAAAACCTGGCTTTGGGGTCAAGGTGACACATATTTTCAGCAATGTAAAGGCTCAGTTTCTTGATCTGTAAAATATTAATATTAGCACCTAAGGTGCAGCATTATTATAAAGATTACATGTATGTAAATAACTGTCTTGTGGCTGCACCCTAGTTAGCATGCATAACTGATAGCTATTATTGGTACCACCGTAATGCAGGTGTCCTTTTCACCATTTATGTTTCATATATTTAGACCTTAAAATAGTCATTATAGATTTATTGCTAAAGCACAGAATTAAAAAAAAAATCTACATCAGAACTGAAGTCCCTGGAAAATTGGCTCCACATTCCTGCAAGGGAGCACAAAAGAACGAGGCAGGCATTAGGATCATCTATGACCAAATAAACCACATTTCATTAAAAGCTCCTCCAAGATCATGGATTCCAGCTGACATCTTCTAAATCCTGTCTTCAAACATCAGAAACACTGGCTGAAAACATTGAAGTCATCAATTTTAAACTAGAGTCTAAAATTTGTAGAGTGCTGACAGAGCACCAACCAGTGCTCGAAAAGATAGACGATGCTTCCTATTTTTGTACTTCATGCCATCAGGAACACCTTCTTCAGGATCTTTTTCTGAGGTGCTAATTCACTAAACAAACAGCACGCATTACCCCAGGCACCAAATCCTTCAGGACGCTCCCAAGTTGCCCATATTCCTTGGGAGAGTTTGGGGGCCACAGAAAGCCCAACAACTGTTTCAGAACCTGCCACCTGGTGTGCCAAAGAATTATGCACAAGAAAACCCTGGCGGGGAAAATGCAAGATGCTAAACTAAGCATCTTAAAGAATAGATGTGAAAGGACTTAAAAGCTTTAAACCACCCAGCAAAATTCAAATTAGAAATGGATAGGTAGTCACATAAAGGATTTGAATTAAAATACAGAAATAACATACTGAGGCCTGACATTCTGGGGTAGCAAACCCATTCACTGATTCTGAAATGGAACTCTATTCTGATACTCCACATCTCGTAGAAGTCCCGAATGCCAAAATTGGAACTTAGACATGTATAAACCAGGGGGAATCCTCTAAATGATAGGCTCTCCTTGAGCATTTAAAAATATGACAGATCTTAAAAAATTGTATACATATATATTTTATAGAAATGCATCAAATTTGTGGAAAATCTAAGCCAATGTTGCCCTGAGAGAGGGCAATCAAGGAGAGCAGAGGAATCTTGAACATGGGTGCTCAATCTATTTATAGGCTGGAAAGGGCAAAGAATGTCATACCTGGAGTGAATTTGCCTTTAGAACCATTTCCTTTTTGTTTTCTCCCAACCCTGGCCACAAGCGCTTTCTTTTCTTCACCTTTTAGCTTTTCATTGAGAAAACTTGAGAGAAAAGTGAGACTTCAAGAGGTTGGTTTGAAGGTTGTAAGTATGTCCATCCAGTGTGTTTAAGAATACTCTGCCATTTTGCTATTTCCACCCTTTCCTTCCCTTATGTCTATTACTATGGCTTTGGGTCTGGTGTTAAAATGTTAATGTGTGTGTGGGGATGGGTGGATGTGTTCGATGGCTCTATTATTGGAGAATAATGTTCCTGAGATGGCATCACAGATGAGGTCATATTATTTAAGGAGTTGTGCTAATTATCTTGTTATGTTTTGTTTTAATAGAGATAAATATATTTATCCTCCAAGGTTTTCCTGACAACTATAACTTTCACTTAAGGTTTGCTTTTCTCTGACTCTTATATACCTTCTCTCCCCACCTCCGTAAACATGCACACACACACACACACACACACACACACACACAATCATACACACATGCACATGCACACACATTTTACAGTTCTGGAATGTCATTTTTTTTTTCAGAGTCTTCTAAATCTTTTAACTCTTCTCACTCTTTCTTTCTCTTTAAAAAAATTTGTTTTTCTTTCTTTTCCCAGGACCTGTATGAACCCCACCTAGAGTGTCCCTCTAATCCTCTTGTTTATTGCTCTAGTCATGAAATGTAATTTATTCAGTAAACTTGCTTTTTTCCCCTCTGAGAATCTCAAAAAGGAAAAGTCATGAAAATTGCTTCTCAGGGGCGCCTGGGTGGCGCAGTCGGTTGAGCGTCCGACTTCAGCCAGGTCACGATCTCGCCGTCCGTGAGTTCGAGCCCCGCGTCGGGCTCTGGGCTGATGGCTCAGAGCCTGGAGCCTGTTTCCGATTCTGTGTCTCCCTCTCTCTCTGCCCCTCCCCCGTTCATGCTCTGTCTCTCTCTGTCCCAAAAAATAAATAAACGTTGAAAAAAAATTTTTTTTTTAAAAATAAAAAAAAAAAAGAAAATTGCTTCTCTTGGTCAGCATTTCCACATGTCAAAGCTCTGATCAGGAAAGAGAAAAGAACTAATCTTTCTTTTACATGGGAATTGAATGATCTATACAAATTAGTTTGAAATTTGGGACAGAAAGAAGATTATTGGAATTTTTAAGTTTTTTTTTCTTTTTTTCCTGAAAAGAACTGGTTCTTGAGGACATCACCTGGAACAGAGAGTGCATTATGATTTTTAAATAATTATGAAGGTGACCTGAGTAAACCTTTGATTCTAGAAAATTCCTTTTTAGAGTTACTGTAAATATTGACCAGTAGTTCATGAGTCGTGGGGATAAACAAGTTTTACACGAGTCATCCACAAGTGCCTTAGTGAACAAATTGTACTTCAGAAAGGACATGCGTGCCCTATAGGAGTTCAAACTATGGTATGCTGGGAATTCCAAGATGTCATCCGAATCTGAAAACACTATTGTGATGCAGTAATGCTGCCATTTGCATTTTGAGGGTCTATTTTTTGACAAGGAATCTGAGTTTTCTGGCAAGCAGGATGCACATCAGAGTACACAAGAGCCATGTCTTGGTGACTTCCGCCTGAGAGCACATGCACAGCTTCCTGTTTTGGTCTGATAGCTTCCCCTGGGCTTTCATAGATGCAAAATTACTCACAAAGAGATGGGTTGCCCGGGCAAAAAAGTAGGTGTCTTATTTTTGGAAAGCTTTATTTCATATTATCGTTGTCATCTTAGTCTACTAAACCTATTTCCTCTTATATTTTACACTGACACTTAAAATGTCATTTCAACTGCTTGTAGGAAATACTGTTTTTCCTCCTCTTAGGCCGATTCCTCTTGTTATCTATTTTCTTTTTTCTCTCTTGGTGCTGCTGTAATATTACCACTTGATTTGCTTACAATATGAATGACCAGCTAAAATGTCTTCTGATATACGTGGTGAATTCATTTGGTCAGCCATTTAAAAATATTTGTGAGCCTTTCTTGTCTCCACATGTATATATACCCTGGTACAGAGATGCTTCAAACGTTCATTCTGCTTTCAAGTGGTTTACAGTTTGGGTTGGGAGTTATACTTACAGAAACTGTAGTACAAAATAAAAAATGATTGGCTCCTAAAAAACGTAAAGGTGAAGTACTATGAGGGATTTTCTCATGTAGTTTTTTGGCCATTGTAGATCTTCCTTTGTGAAGTGTCTGTTCAAATCTTTTGCCCATAATCTCTCATTGGATTTTTTAAAAAAAATTTTTGAGTTGAAAGAGTTGTTTATATATAGTCTGGGTATAAGTGCTTTGTATGTATGTATTTATTACAGGATGTGGCTTGTTTATTCATTTTCTTAAACTTTTAATGTTGATGAAGTCCACTGTATGTATGTGTGTGTGTGTGTGTGTGTGTATGTATGTATGTATGTGTATGTGTGTATATATATATGTACATATATATATATATACCTATAGATGTGTAGATATTTTTACTTATCTGTCAAAGGAATTTTTGCCTACTCTAGAGTCATGAGGATATATTTCTGATACTCCTGTGTTTTCTTAATGTCTAGGTCTACATCATAAATCATTAAGGGAAATGTACTTAGAGAGACGCAAATCAGAGCCAATAAGTTATCACTACACACTCACCAGAATGGCTAAAATTAAAGAAAAAACTGACAATACGTACTAAGTGTTGGCAAGGATGTGGAGTAACTGGAATCATCACATACAGATGGTCCCCAAATTTTGATGGTTCAATTTAAATTTTCGACTTTACGATCAGGCAAAAGCAATATGTGTTCAGTAGAAACAGAACTTCAAAATTTGAAATTTGGTCTCTTTCCAGTGAGTCACAGTGACAGGATCCTCTCGTGTTGCTGGGAAGTGGCAGCGAGCTGAAGCTCCCAGGTAGCCACATGGTCACTAGGTCAATAGCGAGTACACGTACAGCAATTCTGTTCACATGTGATCATTTTGTTTTCCACTTTCAGTACAGTATTCAATTAATTATATGAGATATTCCAACCCTTCATTATAAAAAGGGCTTTGTGTTAGATAATCTTGCCCAGTTGTAACCTAACAATGGGTGTTCTGAACACATTTAAGGTAGGCTAGGCTAAGCTTTGATGCTTGATGGATTAGACATATTAAATGCATTTTCAACTTAGGGTATTTTGAACTTACAATGGGTTTATCATGAAGTAACCCCACTGTAAATAGAGAAAATCTGTACTGGTAGTCGGAATGTAAAATGACGAAATCACTTTGGAAATCAGTATAACTATTTCTCATATAGATAAACATACACCAAACCTATGGGTTAGCACTTACACTTTCAGGTTTTACCCAAAAGAAATGAAGACATATGTCAACAAAAAGACTTGCATAAGAATGTTCATAGTATCCTTATTCATAACAGTCAATCATTCATATGTCTGTCAATAAAAGGGTAGATAAACAAACATTGATTTTTTTTTATACAATGGACTATTACTCAGCAGCAAAAAGACATATAATACTGATATACGTAAATAATCTGGATTATTTTCAAAATGCTCACGAAGGAAGTCTTCCACAAAAGAGTGTATACTGTATGATTTCATTTATATGAAATTCTGGAACAGATAAAATCCTCTTGTGACAAAAGAAATCAAAGCAGTAGTTACTCTACAGGAGGGGGTGACTAGAACAAGGAAGGAGAAAACTTCCTGGGCTATTGACAGTGTTCTTTGTTTTGACAGGAGAACAAGTTGACACAAGTGTGTAAATTTGTCAACACAACGGATGTATACTTAAATTTGTGCATTTCATTGTATATAAACAATAGCTCAATAAAAATGGTGACAAAAGCCCAAAAGGCCCAAATTTAGCAGCTGATTGGTCAGAAATATGACATTTGGGTTTAAGAGTGGTTTTTGTACTCAGAGCGCCCTGAATTCAAATTATAGCTCTAAAAATTATTAACTATATATGTTTGTGTAAGTAGCATAACTTCCTTGAACTTCAGTTTTCCATTTGCAGAACTGGAATAATTTCTTCTTTCAAGAGATGTTGTGAGAATGTTTGTAAAGGGCTAGTCACAAGGGCTGGCATAGTGTGTTAAATTAATGCCACTTGAATAATTCTCCTTTTTTTCCCTTTATTTTTTCTTGTTATTATTGAGTGAAGTGTCAAATACAATTGTGAGGTTTTGAAGTGTTTGGGAAGACGGTAAATTGTCAACAGAAATACAGAACACACTGGCAAGGTCATACCTGAGAGACAATATAATGGGTTCTCTTTTGAACCTAATGAATTTGAGTAGAGCTGTTCTGAATGGAGTTGGCAATAAGGGGTCTGGAATTGAGGGGAGAAATCAGAAACGGAGCTTTGGATTTGAGCTGTGATGAACTGGTAAACCAGTTTTCCAGGGGGGCGGGGGGCGGAGGTCTGATAGCGGGTATTTGCTGATTTCTGTGCTGTGAATACTTCCAACATGGCCAGTTTCAAGTTACCAAACCAGTTTGCAAAATTCCTGAGTATTTACCAATCAGCTCTCTCCAGCTGGTGCCTGCCGGCTCTCTATTCTAGTAGATCTGAGTCATTTGCTGAAGCAGAGCAGGGGAGAGAGAAAAATCTTTTCTCATCTTGTACCAGGGCCTCTTGCCTAGAGGATAACAATGCATTTAAGTTCTTTTGCTATGGGTCCCCATTTCTGAGTGTCTCTCCGGGGCTCACACCTTTTTTCTGCTGTGGAATGGAAACACCTTACGTCCACTGCTTTTAAAGAGGGCCTTCACAGCACAGTGGCTTATCCACTCTCCGGTTAACATAATACAGTTTCTTTATCCTTTTATAATACAGAGGCTGCTCTTTCCAGGGATATCCAGCAGGGACGTCAACCTGGAGGGGTTCAAGCATAGCCCTAACCTGTAGAAGGGCAACTAACTCCTCCCTCACTGCCTCAGACAGCATCCTATGCTGGGGTCCTGCCTCACTTAAGATTTCCCTTCTCCCTTGCTGGAGAAGAAAGGAACACTTTTCAAACTGAGTTTGTCATCTCTATCTCTCATCCAATCCCCCATCCAGTGCACAGGTCTGTGTTTGCATGAACTGCAGGTGTAGACAGGGTTCAAGTCTCTTTCCATGGGTGTTGGAACAATGACAAACCATGGGATGAGGTTAAGCCCGTATTTAATGTAATTGAGCTGTCCGTGGCTATATGGACACTTTGTCAAGAGCACATGGGTACTGGGGTGCCTGGGTGGCTCAGTTGGTCAAGCATCCAACTTTGGCTCAGGACATGATCTCGCGGTTTCGAGCCTTGCGTCGGGCTCTGTGCTGGCAACTCAATTTAAAAAAAAAAAAAAAAAAGGGAAAGCGCATGGGGACTAATTCTTAACCCATTGGCCAGCTAAAATGCTGCATTAAACATACATTTCCAGAAATTTTTTGTCCGAAGAATAAGTATTTTTGCACAGATGTTTCTTTACATTATTTATTATAAAACTAAACTCAAACAACCTATGTGCCCACATTTCTGTATTATAATATGACATACCCATTTAAAATAACATTATATAGTCCTTAAAATTTCTTATGAAAATTTTTTATTCACGTGAAACATATTTACAACACAGTGAACTATTTGCCATTTTAAATGTGTTAAAATAGTAAAGAGAAATCACTGGAAATAAATTTCTTTCTTTTTTTAATTTTTTTTAATGTTTATTTTTGAGACAGAGAGAGACAAAGCATGAACAGGGGAGGGGCAGAGAGAGAGGGAGACACAGAATCTGAAACAGGCTCCAGGCTCTGAGCGGTCAGCAGAGCCTGATGCGGGGGGCTCGAACTCACCGACCGTGAGATCATGACCTGAGCCGAAGTCGGACGCTTAACTGACTGAGCCACCCAGGCGCCCCATGGAAATAAATTTCTCAAACTACTTACTGATTTTCTTTTGATGGTCAGATTATGAGTGGTTTCCTTCTTCTTCACTATGTGCTTATGAACTTTTTCAAAATTTCTGTGCAACGAGCAAAAAAATCTTTCTCTCTCTTTTTTTTTTTTAGTTTATTTATTTATTTTGAAAGAGAGGGTGAGCAGGGGAGGGACAGAGGGAAAGGTAGAGAGAGGATTCCAACCAGGCTCCCTGCTGCCAGTGCAGAGCCCAACGCGAGGCTTGAACTCACAAAACCATGAGATCATGACCTGAGCCAAAACCAATAGTTGGATGCTCAATCGACTGAGCCACCCAGGTGCCTTGCAAAAATGTCTTTAACAAAAATTTCTTAGGGCTCCAGAGACTGCACTCGTGTTCTGATACCTTTGGTTTTATCCAGTTCAATTTTTTAAAGTTAAAAGTCCATTTGAAGTCCACATTCAAATTTTTTCTAAAACACATAAGACATACGTCTTGTGTCATAAAACCGAGGTCTTTCAGTCATGTTTTGTAGTAGTGTTACTTCTTTGGTTATTTCTTTCTACACTTCAAGAAAGGAGGGTAGATTAAAAAAAACAGGAGCCTAAGTTTTCTTCCCTGCGAAGCCCTTTTAATTTGTAGGTAATTCAGATCTTCAAACCTTCAAAAAGATGCATTTCAATATTCTTGAGTTGTATTTTCCCAACATTTTATTATGGAAAATTTCAAGTGTCCAAGAAAGGTGGAAGGAATGTTGCAGTGGATACTCATAAATCTACCGGCTAGATACTGTAGTTAACATTTTAATATATTTGCTTTACCACATATCTATTTGTCCACCCATCAGTCCATCTTATTTTTTGATATGTATCAGAGTAAGTAGCAGACATGAAGACATTTCACTGTTAAATACTACATCATGCATATGTTTAGCTACAATTCAATATCTTTTACATTTCTTGTCTTTCATGGTAACATTTATATGCAATGGAATGTACAAATCTTTTTTTTAATTAAAAATTTTTGTAACATTTATTTATTTTTGAGAGACACAGAGAGACAGAGCATGAGCAGGGGACTGGCAGAGAGAGAGAAGGAGACACAGAATCTGAAGCAGGCTGCAGGCTCTGAGCAAGCTGTCAGCACAGAGCCCGAGGTGGGGCTCGAACCCACAAACCGCAAGATCATGACCCGAGCCGAAGTCGGATGCCCAACTGACTGAGCCACCCAGGTGCCCCAAATGTATAAATCTTAAATAATCATTCAGTGAGTTTTGACAAAACATATACTTGTGTCGCCCAAATTCCCAGGAAATTCCCCCATGCTCCTTCTCAGTAATCCAGGCACTGACCCTCCCAGAGCTGACCATTGCTTCTATTTGATTCTATTAAATAGTTATTTTTCCAAGTCTAGAACTTCATATTAATGGAATCATATACCACATAGTCTTTTGTGTCTGGCTACCTTCACTGAGCATAATGTTTTGGAGATTCACCTCTGTTGTGTTTCTTGTACAAGACTTTTTGTAGACATCTGTTTTTATTTCTTTTGGGTAAATACCTAGGGATAAAATTGCTGTGTTATAAAGCGGTATACATTTAGTTTTATAAGAAACTGCTCAACCTTTTCCTAAAGAGGTTGTACCATTTTATATTCCTGCCTACAATTAATGAGAGTCTCATTTGCTCCATATTCTTGGCAACACTTGGCATTATCTGTACAAGTCTTTTTTACTTTTATGTTTTCAAATTTTTGTCCTTCTCATGGGTGTGTAGTATTAACTTGTAATTTTAAATGTGTAAACACTTGGTCGGTTTCTTTGTTGTCCAAGTGGGAAAAAAGGCAACAGCCAAGTTTTGCTCCAAGAGACCCGGCCTCACTGAATCTGCAGAACATTGAAATTGGCACAGCTCCAGCATTTTGTAAGAATAGATTTTTCTCCCATGGGGAACTCTCTTTTCTCAACACTTGAGAGGTATTTACTATAGGCTCCCTTTATAATTATCTGCAACATGATGGTTGGTCCTCTCCTCCCAAAGCCTTCTCTTCTGCTTCTCCTATGTCTCATTCTCCTTGGACCACAGGTAGGGATTACAGAGTTGCTTCATATATTCCAGATATCTCTGTTAGGTAACTTGTCACATGTAGACATTTGTGTCCATCCATGTCTCATCTCTCCTCTTAAGCTATAAACATTTTGAAGGAAGGACAATATTTAATTTACCTTAGCACAGTCCCCTGTATATGGTGTGTGCTCACTGGACATTTATTGAATGGGTGTTTGAATGGGAGGTGATGGAGTAGTTTTGAGCACAGGCCCTGGGGTCAGACTCCACTACCTATGAGCTGTGTGATCTCAAGAAAGTTACTTATCCTCTCTGAGCCTCAGTTTCCATCCAAAAACAAAAAACAAACAAACAAACAAAAAAACCAGTGAGGACAATGAGAATACTTACTTTGCTGAACCCAAGTGGCAATTAATGAGATAATTTTTTAAAGTGCCTAAAGGGGCGCCTGGGTGACTCAGTTGCTTAAACTTCTGACTTCAGCTCAAGGCATGATATCACGATTTGTGGGTTCGAGCCCCACACCAGGTTCTGTGCTCACAGCTTAGAGCCTGCAGCCTATTTCAGATTCTGCGTCTCATTCTCTCTCTGCCCCTCCCCCGCTCATGCTCTGTCTCTCTCTCTCTCTCTCTCTCTCTCTCAAAAATAAATACTAAACATTGAAAAAATTAAAAAAATAAAAGTGCCTAGAAAAATGTTTAAAATGAAGTAAATATATATAAATAAAATGAGGCTCTTAAATACAACATCATAGGAAAAAAACTTGCTTTCTAAACCTATATCCATCCTGTGATATAAAAAAATTTCCTTAAAAAAACACAACACAAAAACCAACAACAAACAATTGCAAGCATTTAACCCAAACTAATTCTTCAAGTACTCTAGTCATGTGATTCCAGAATTTGGTGAACAGTCTATTTACCTGCTGTAATTCTGTAACCTTTGATCACATGCCTTTCACCCTTTAGACTAGGCATGTTCGTAGCATTTAAAAAATAAAATCTTGGCTCTTACATTGTCTTTCTTGAAGTACCTTCATCAGAGGTCTGCAATATTGGGGATGAAAACTTTATTCCCCTGTTCCTTTTAAAGAGAAGGACAATTAAATCCTTAATGGTCCTAAGTATCATTTAACTTATGTTACATTGAATTGCTTTACATAAGAAAAGAATGCATCTTTAACAATAAAGGAAACAGGAAGCATTGATATTAACAATAGGTATGGTCGATAGGACCTACATCTTCTGAAAAGTCATGCTATACAACCTTTAAAGAAGGCTTAGGGAGGGACGCCTGAGAGGCTCAGTCAGTTGAACATCTGATTCTTGATTTCGGCTCAGGTCATGATTCCAGGCTTGTAGAATTGAGCCCTGTGTTGGGCTTGTGCTGAGTGTGGAACCTGCTTGAGATTCTCTCTCTCTCCCTCTGCTCCTGCCCTGCTTGCACGCTCTCTGTCTCTCTCTTAAATAGAAAAAAGTTGTTTTAAAATGATGAAAGAAAGAAAGAAAGAAAGAAAGAAAGAAAGAAAGAAAGGACTTAGGGATTTTTCTACTGCAGGGATTTGAAAAGAGAAACATGGGAGGGTCCTGAGAGCAACTTCCTGAAGAGGAAAAGGCTAGATGATTTCCCAGATTCTACAGTACCATACCAGTGATGGTATGACTATCTTTTTCTCCACTGGGCTGGATTCCGTAAGGAAACATTTTATTTTCTGGAGTCAGAATGCATGTGTTTGTCTCCATACAACACGGAGAAAACATGCCCGTAAAATCAAAAGAGAGCATTGACCACTGTGACCTGTTAACATGTTTCTCTGCCTCTCTTCGGATGAAAGATTTCAAATCTCATCATTAATGTGGCGAGAAGTATTGAATTGGAAAACACTAATATTGTCTTTCCAGATCGATTCATCCTCGGTTTGTCACATCAGAGCAAGAGAGGAGATATTAATGGTCACCTTGGCTGTTTTCTCGTGACCTCCAACATGCCTCACATTTTAAATTGAATCCGGATCGGGGTGTCTGGGAGCAGGGAGTGGAGATCCACAGGGTGCGGAGTAAAGTAAAGGCTAGATGTGTCCCCTTGGTATTAAAAGAAGGCTTTGCAAGCAAAAAAAGAAACGGTGTTTGGTAAAAATGAGTGCCGTTTCCCCCTGCTTCGGTATCTGCTTGCTTTCACAATGGCCGCAGTGTTTTTCTTTACCAGGTAGGTGGCCTCTCCATGTATCGATGAGGCGCTGCGTGAAAATGTGCCTCCTTATGTCGGAGGGAAATTTGCTTTCACTTCTTTCCCCGGCTCTCTGTGCCTCCCTTTGTTCTAATCATACACGTGAGGAGAAAAGCCAGTGATGGCAGCAACCATTTTCTTCTCCAGCCACTTTTTGGAGTTAATAATTCACACGGATCTTTTACAAACTCTCATTTTATTCTTAGAAATGGCCTTATTGCTAACAGTCTGCTCTCCAGTTGTACTTTATCAAGCAGCAGATCTGTTGTAAAATGTGATGACTGGATTTCATCTGTTTTGCCACCCCCTAAGAATTCATTGCCCACAGTGCTTCGACTGCTGTTATAAGAGACGGTTTAATTTTTGTGGTACATTGATTGATAACTGGGCTCCCTGGTAACATGGCCTTCCTTGAATAGGACCGCTGTTTTCTAGGTCTCAGATCCCCTGAAGATGCTACATAACTCCCTGTATGAAACAAATCTTCCACACCCTAATAGTAATATCCCGAATCCCCAAGTGAACAGATCGCACATGCAAGTGCCTATCGGTATCTTTATGCCTGCAGGTGACACAGATATGGGAAGGAAAGTCCCCCAGGTCTCAGATATGATGGAATCAGAGACACAGAAAGACAAACAAACAAAACGGGAAGACTTGCCACGATTCCGAAAAGTTGTCTAAATTGGTCCCTATCGAGTAATAAAATCACAGGTACTTCTTCACTCCTTGACTAATTTTCTGTTGCTTTCAGGTGAACGATGTAGAATCCCTGCTATGTACCTTCAAATTAAAAAAAAAATAATAATAACAACAAAAGAGAGGAGAGAAAGAGTTTGCAGAGAGGAGAATTGTAAAAATCAGAAAAACAAAGGGCAGGAGGATTGGGCTGAAGGTTTGGAATCACCAAGCTGTGGGACCCATGTTATCATCAATTTATGAAAACATCATTTAAAAAAAATTCACATCATTCTCTTTGATATGTCAAGGTCAAGAGACTTCATGTTTGCATATACTTCGAAGAAGGGGACAATGATATAGGTTCTAATAAAATCAGCACTACTGAATAGTGTATTTGCTAAGCCCACTGCATGGAACAGAGTTGGCGGGGGTGGGGGGGGTGGGGGGGTGGTGATTGGTATAATTTCAGCAGGTAATTTCATACAAAACAACTTCTTTTTTTTTTTTTTTAATTTTTTTTTTCAACGTTTATTTATTTTTGGGACAGAGAGAGACAGAGCATGAACGGGGGAGGGGCAGAGAGAGAGGGAGACACAGAATTGGAAACAGGCTCCAGGCTCCGAGCTATCAGCCCAGAGCCCGACGTGGGGCTCGAACTCACGGACCGCGAGATCGTGACCTGGCTGAAGTCGGACGCTTAACCGACTGCGCCACCCAGGCGCCCCCATACAAAACAACTTCTTAGCAGCCTACCATGCCTAATGATTTGAGTGAAATTCATTTCTTCCCAGTTAGTGCATGCCTAATGCACACGGGAGCAATGTTAAAGTTGGAAGGTCACGAGTTCTAGCCCAACATTGTAAGTTGCTTTGGTAATGATCAGGCATGCTCTTCCTGTGGCCATTCTTGTATCCATTCCCAGAGCAACTCTTATTGGTCTTATCTTCTTCTTATTTCGGGTAAGTGAGAAGGGTTAGATAAAACGATCTCTGTATTTATTGAGCATTGTTTATTCATTCCACAAATATTCATTGAACACCCACTGGGCTTCTGGCACTAGAAGCTGGGGATTCTGTAGTTTTCTTTATAAAACAGGAAAAAAAAAAAACTTCTGCTTCCTGGATCTTATATTTTAGTGAGGGAGACAGTAAACCAGATATGTAAGTAAAGTAAATGTCATGTTTGATAGTGAGAAGGTCTAATAATAAATAAAGAACAGAAGGAGGGGAAGTTTTAGATAGAATAGGTGAGGGTAGCCTCACTGAAAAAGTGGTTTAAGTAAAGACCTGAAGAAAGCAGAGCTAGTCATGTAGATATCTGAGTGATGAGTAATCTAGTCAAAAAAGCAAGCACAAAGGCCATGGGACTAAGGCATGCCTGACATTTTTGTGGGGAAAAGCAAAGCAAAGAGACTGGGATTACTAGAGTGGAATAGACGAGGGGAGCGTTATAGGAGATGACGTCACAGAGGTAATGAAGACCAGACCAGGTAGGACCTTATCAATCATAGAAAGGAATTGGGATTTGATTTGAGTCTCATGGGAAGCCATTAAAGGGCTTTGTGCAGATGACTGGGACGATCCTTTTTTTTTTTAATGTTTATTTATTTTTGAGAGAGAGAGAGAGAGTCAGAGCCTGAGCAGGGAAGGGGCAGAGAGAGAGAGGGAGACACGGAATCGGAAGCAGGCTCCAGGCTCTGAGTTGTCAGGGCAGAACCCGCCATGGGGCTCAAGCTCAAGAACCGGGAGATCATGACCTGAGCCCAAGTCAGACGCTTAACCAACTGAGCCACCCAGGCACCCTGAGATGATCCTTTTGATCGAATCACTCTGGATGTTATGTTGACTGAGAATCCGTGGAAGCGGTGCAAGGATATATGGAGGGAGATCAGTTAGAAGGCTACTGAAATTATCCAAACATGACTGGATTAGGGTGATGGTAGTTGGGGGCAGTAAGCAGTCTAGTTCTGGGTATACTTTGAAGGTGAAGACAATAGGATTTGATGATGGCTTTCAGAGTAAGAGTAGAGTTAGGAATGCCACCATGATATTGATCTGAATTACTGGTAGAAGGGAGATTCAATGAAGATGGGGAAGATTGGAGAAGGAGGTTAGTGTGTGTGTGTGTGTGTGTGTGTGTGTGTGTGTGCATAAAGATTCTGATTTTGGCCATACTAAGAGAAATATATCTATTAGATATCCCAGTGAAGTTAGCAAATAAGCACCTGGCCATGTGGAGAGAGAGAGGCCCAAGCTGGGGATAGAAATATGAAGATCACCAGCATAGAGATGGCATTTAAAGATCTCTTGAGACGGGATGAGATCATTTAGGTCACTTCTTAAAGAAGTTCAGGGAGATAAGGAGAAATCAGCCAATGAAGCTGGGAAGGAATGGTGAAAAAAACTATGAGGTTCTGGAAGCCGAGAGAAGAATGTGTTTCAAGGCAGAAATAGTGATCGGATGTGTCAACTGTTCCTGAAAGGCCTAATAAAATGGGAGTCATCAGGTAGGATTAGCCATTGCATTGAACAAAATACAGTTCATCAGTGACTTTGAGAAGAACTTAATTCTGTTCGGCTCAAGCTCTAAATACACCTCATCAACCTCTATGGATTAAGTAAGAAGATGGGTTCAGATGTAAACAACTTGTTCAAAAGCAAGCTGGAATGAGAGAACAAGATATTGAGGAAGAAAGTTCTAAATTCCTTACCAGCCACACCTTACAAACAAAAGTGTGGAAATGATGTGATATTTAAGACAAACAACTAAGCAAAGAAACAAACACATGGAACATCACCCAGGTAGGATTACCATAGGTACTAGGCTTCAATAGAAACCATGACAACGGGAGAAAGAGGCCTTGTAGGGACTCTGTATGTATGTGTGTGTGCTCTGCTTTCTCAATGTATTTGTCATGCTGTGGCCTTGGCAAAAGCAAGAGCTAGGGAAAAATAAACAAGGGATTCCTTATCTTTTGGAAAAAAAAACCCAAAACTAGTCTCATGTAAGTGGTTAAAAATCCTCTCTGTAGTTCTCGATTTAAATGTAAAGATTCAATTGAAAAATACCCGGGATTGCAGTTGTGGCGGTGGAATTGGTAGAGAAGTGTACTTACGCTGTGGAGTGGGGCGTGGGGATAAGCTGGGCCAAAACAAGAGCACATCCCTTTGCCTTGTAGAGAGTCTCAAAGTCAGTCTGATTGGAATGAGAACTGGGAAAAGGGCAGAGAGATGGGAGGGGGTACCTTTGCCCAGGAAACACAGGAAACGTATGAAGAATGGTGATGGTACCACTTTCGATATTTGGAATTGCATTTTTTTGGCAGCCTCAACTAATTGACGTATAGTTTTTAAAAAGAAAGCTGCCCCAAAGCTCTTGGACTGTAGGCCAGCCCTGGTGCTGCCTCGCAGGACAGAGGGGGACATTAAACACACAGATTTCTACTGGTCCTCTGCGTGTCCCTTAACGTAGGGACAACGGATTTACTCAGTAAGTGCTGACAAATCCAGAAGTCAGGTGCAAGGGGGAGAGTAGAAACAAAGCTGAGAGATGATGACCCATGAGAGAAAGAACTTAACTTTAGCTCCTTAAATAAGCCCCTCAGGAGCAGTGAGATACATTACACTCCCATCCTTGGTGGTCTTGCGCTTTTAAACCTCTGCATCTAGGCTTTTAACCAGTCAGGCTGACAGGCTCCCACGGCTCACATGCAATGACTCCGGGTGCGGGCTGGCAGTCGCCTTAGTTGCTTGAGTGCTCGTCATTGTCCTCGCCCTGAATCTGCCTCTGTGTGACCACCAACCGGCTCTTCTCTTTCCACTCCAGCTCCAGAGTATGTCTGTGCCTGCCTCTTAGGGAGCTGGGTCTCATGTCTCCTTTTCCAGGGAGACTCTGGTGAGAGGCCTTGTTCCAACTTCTCAAGAAGCCTCTGGTCCTAGCTTTCTTGCAAGGAAGGGGAAGAGATTAGACAGGTTGAGACCACATTTTCCTCACGCAGAACATAATTAAGTCCACAGGCTGGGAAGTGTTTCCTTCCCTGGAGGCTCAGGAGTACAGACACAAGGTGAAGGGTATAGTAAAGCAATTTCTAAAGGATGAATACTGCTGAATTATTTTGGAATGGCCATGCCACCTGCTGAACATCTCCTTTATTTCTGGTAATTCACTAAATAATTCACCATGTGCTACAGTTCGTCTACAGTGTGGTGAGTTAAGACAGTTGCCCTGTTTGGAAATTTTTTCCTGTTTGGGAACATATGTCCGTCCACCTGAGTGGAAATCACTTTTAGCGTCCTGGAACTGAGGTAGTCAAACAGTTTGCACTCTAAAGAAGTGAGAATGAGAATTATTTTAGGTCCATAATGGTTTTAGGTCAGGATCCCAGAAGCAGATCCGGAGATGAGGATTTGGGTACAGGTGATTTATTTAAGGAAGTGCCCCCAGGAGAAGCCAGTGAGGGAATGGGAGACTCAGGACAGGAAAAGAGAAGAGGTCAAACAACATGTGTGTTTCAGGCCCAGCCCCTAAGCGGGAGCTTCAGCCTGATCCCAGAGGAAAGCCCTAGAGTGGAAGTTGATTTGTGTACCGCAAGGCAACTGGAAGGAGGCTGGGCGTTTATACCCTTGCATCATCAGTCCCTGCTGAGGCCAACCTGAGGGCCACATAAACTCCCAGTACTTCTGTTCCAACAGCCCCAGGCTGATTCTCTAAAGGAGAGTCATATGCTGGGGGTCATTGGAAGTAAAAGCCACCAGAGCAGGAAGGAATGCACAGAAATGGCCAAAGGAATTCAAGAGGATTTGGGTGGGGACACTGCAGTGCCTGCCACATCATAAACGTTCATGGAGCCCTTGCTGGTGCCAGGAAGCTTTCTTTTCATGTAGTATATCATTCCATTCTCACCCTTTCTCTGTGCATCATCTCTATTTTACATACCAAGGGACTGACGTGTCAGGTAACTTGTAAGAATGTTCAACAAAGGTAAATGACAGAGCCAAGTCTCAAATCCTGTTCTATCTAAAGACCATGTCCACAGCTCCTTTTC